ATGGATTTTAAACTTTATCAAATGGATGTTAAAAGTGCCTTCCTTAATGGTATCATTCAAGAGGAAGTGTATGTCGAACAACCCCCGGGTTTCGAAGACTATGAGTTTCCCGAACATGTCTTCAAACTCAAAAAGGCGCTTTACGGTCTCAAACAAGCACCTCGTGCTTGGTATGAACGGTTAAGCAAATTTCTTTTGGACCATGAGTTCAAACGGGGTCAAGTCGACACTACTCTTTTTATCAAGAAAGATTACCAAGACATCCTTTTGGTTCAAGTTTACGTAGATGATATCATATTCGGTGCTACTAACGAGGTTTTGTGTAGGGATTTTTCCGATATGATGCAAAGTGAATTTGAAATGTCGATGATGGGAGAATTAAAGTTCTTCCTTGGGCTGCAAATTAGACAATGCAAAGAAGGGAGATTCGTGTGTCAAACGAAATATTGCAAGGAATTGCTTAAAAGATTCGATGTTACCGAATCCAAATCCTTTGACACACCAATGAGCACCTCTTGCTATCTTGACAAGGACGAAAAAGGTAAAGAGGTAGACATCAAGTGCTACCGAGGTATGATCGGCTCTTTGCTTTATCTTACCGCGAGTAGACCGGATATCATGTACTCCGTTTGTATATGCGCTAGGTATCAATCATGTCCTAAAGAGTCGCACTTGGTTGCGATCAAAAGGATAATGCGATATTACGCGGGCACGTTGAACGTAGGTCTTTGGTATCCCAAAGGTTCAACATGTTTTCTTGTTGGCTATTCTAACATGGATTTTGCAGGTTGCAAACTCGTTAGGAAAAGTACCAGCGGTATTTGCCACTTATTCAGTCATTCGTTAATCTCGTGGTTTAGTAAGAAGCAGGTTAGTGTTGCATTTTCCACCACCGAAGCGGAATATGACGCTGCGGGAAGTTGTTGTGCCTAAATTCTTTGGCTAAAACAACAACTAGTGGATTTCGGCCTTATACTTGATCACATCCCTATTAGGTGTGACAATATGAGCGCTATTAGTCTAACAAAGAACCCCGTTCTTCACTCAAGGACTAAACACATAGAAATTAGGCATCACTTCATACGAGATCACGTCCAAAAGGGAGATGTCACAATTGAGTTTGTTGAAACAAAACATCAATTGGCGGACATTTTCACGAAACCCCTTAGTAGGGAGAGTTTCTTCCACATTCGGAACGAACATGGCATTTTGGATATCTCTATGAACTAATCCATTCTTTTTATTGACTATACTAATTTGAGCGTCAGAGGCTCGATAAATTCTTCTTTGCAGGGCTTTTATTGCAGGTATCTCTTCCCTTGGTATTCAACCGAATTGGACTTGATGATTTTTTCTGTCAAACAAGTTTTAATCGATTACTCCTCGAAGAGAAATCGATTAGTCGCCTCTGTCCCTCTTAATCGATTACTGGCCTTTTGTTAATCGATTAAAATCCTTCAAGGAATTTTTTATAGCCCTGCTTCACTTTTAATTGATTAATTTTGTTAAATTAATCGATTAGACTCATCTGTCCATCTTAATCGATTAACCATCTTTGTTTAATCGATTAATAGCTTGAAACGCAAACGTTTGGTTCTGCTCCACTTCTAATCGATTAATAAGTTTAATTTAATCGATTTGCCTCGGCTGTGTTCCTTAATCGATTAAATAATTCTTTTTAATCGATTAGTATTCGATTTTTGCCCTTATATCACAGCCAGTCTTCGTCTTCTTCGCCATTCTCTTTTTACGAACCAGAACCCTAGCTCCCTCTTTCGATCTTCTCTTCCTATTTCTTCAACAATCTCCCAAATGTTTCTCACCAAAATTCATCAAATTCAAAGAGGAAGGATGCCTAGGTGCAAGAACGCTTCATCACGTCAATAATCGGCGGCAGAAGAAGGTGAGAGGCTATGGCGTCGTGAAGGGAGCAAGTACATCCACATACAAACCGGACTCGCCTTCAACACTGGGGCTTCAGCCGAGAGGTTCCACAACATCTTTATCACAAAGGAGATCGTCTCACCTAAGATCGTGAACAAGGACCTCTTCAAATCGGCGACCTATGCCCCGAGTAAGTCTCTTTTCTCTCAGCAAGGTTTGCTTCGTTTCATCCATTTGACGTATGAATTCTTTTGTCCAAATCTTATACGTCAATTTTATGCAAACCTTTGTACCACTAAGGGAGACTCGCTATCTGTCATTTCCTATGTTGACGGCAAAACCGTTTTCATTGACGGTGCTGGTTTGACTTCTCTGTTTGGCCTTCCTCGAGGTGAAATTACAAAAAACTTGGATGAAACATTCCAAGATGAGGCAATTTGGCGACAACTCGGGTTAGATCATTGTGACCTCAAGTTTAGAAATTCTAGCAACCCGAGTGTCATTAATCTCACTTTAATTCAACGCGTCCAACAATACATCTTCTCCTATGTTTTGTTGCCCCGTGATTCGAACCATGGCGTTGTCAACAAGGACGATGTCAAATTTGATTGGGTTCACTTCTTTATCGTTGCACTTAGCGATGGCACTCGTTTTTCTCATCTCCGTTTTGTCATCCCCATTATGCATATCCCTGCTCATTGCAAAATAGACTTTACTCGGGACACTCAGGTGCCGGTCAAGAAGACTTGTTTCATCACTGAAGCCAAGTTTTCCTGGATCGTGTACTGTGAGGAGGGCGATGCTGCACCAAATCTGGACCTGATAGTCGCAAAAGAAGAAGAGAGCCAAAACGATACTCAAGCTGAGTCATCTCGAGCCGGAGGAAGTCGAGCCACGGAGCGCGTCACTCATCAACGCAGGACTCATCCAAGAGAAGAAGCACCGGAACCTTCTTGGGTAAAGAGGATCTTCGATACTCTCACGTGCATCCGAGATGACGTTCGCCAGCTCAACGAGAGGATGACTCGTTTTGAGCAATCCCACTCCTACCGTGGCCCACGTCACAACTTTAGCGGAGGAGCTTGTCCGACAAACTCACTTTGATTATATTCCTTCTGTCTTGACTTATTATGATACATTGTTATCTGCTATTGTTATTGTTATGACTCTTTTGATAAATGATTTTGATGCTAATTATGTATTTGTTTGTTTGGCAATATGGTTCTCTTTTAGAACAAATTGTCCCCATGTGGCATTCCTGTTAGAATTATTTTTTAAGAATATTTCTTGCAATTTTATCCTTCAATATCCCGGCATTGATTAAGGGGGAAGGTTATCGATTGATAATGCCAAAAGGGGGAAAGAAGGATAGTTGAGAAAAACTTTTTCTTAAAAACTTTTTTGGAGTGATCGTTGAGAAACTTTTTTCTTAAAATTTTTTTTACCATTTTTTTTTACTCCGATATTTTTTCACTTCTCTAACTTTGCAGGTGGAATTATTCTTAAAAGGAAGTAATTTTTGAACTCTTACTTTGCTCTTTCTCAACTATGTTTGTCATTATCAAAAAGGGGGAAATTGCTGGACATGAGTTCAAACCGCTTTACTACTTCTTCTGGAATATTTTTTTGTTTTGATGAATGAAAAACAGGATGATTAATTTCAAGATGGTCAAAAATTTATTTTCGTACCGAGAAAAGCAAAGAAGGGTATCAAGAAGTTTACGGCGATAAAAATCGACGATCACCCCTACGCAGATTTTTTTTTGAAGTGAAGTGAAGACTCCGAAGACTTTTTTATTTTTTAATTAAGTCTAGGAATCTTTGTAAGGATGACAATATTTTCTGCACAAACAAATTATTTTTGAGGGATAAAAATTATTATTTTCTGAGTCAGTTGAAAAATTACTTTTCCTCTGTCTAAAAATATTTTACTGAGTCAGTTTCAAAATAAGTGTGTTAAAATTTCTTAAAAATATACTTTAAATATTTTTTCTTGTACATCGTTTGACACACAAAATAATTTTTGGACTCTTTTTCTCTCCCCCACTCAAATTCATTGAATGAGATATGAGGAGAGTTTGATATTCCCGTTGTCCAAAACAACGAGTTAGAAGCCAAAGGATTCCAATCGCACTTGGCTTGGGCTCTTTATGTTTGCGCATTATTTCCACTTTAAGCGAATAATTTTTCTAAATTAATCTATTAGATCCAGTTCCGGATTTCTCAAGCCTTCATTATTAATTGATTTTTCTTATTCTTTTAATCGATTAGTTCTCAGAGCGCACTCTAATCGATTTTTCCATCAAACTTAATCGATTAAGATTGCATTTCTCGCTGAAGACTTTTTTCCAATTAATCGATTAATCTTCTTCATTTAATCGATTAGTTGAGCCAGCGCCATCTAATCGATTATTTTGTCAAATTTAATCGATTAATTTTGCCCCTGCGCAGAAGACCCTTTCGCTTCTATACACCTTAATCGATTAAAAGCTTTACTTTAATCGATTAATATTGTCTGGTGTCTATTCTCAATTTGCTCCAACGAATCTTTTATCCTCAGCCTATTTAATCCCTTTTTCTCCTTCATTTCTACACACAACTCTTGCACTCCAATATCTTCATTGAGCTATATTCATTTCTTACTTCCATCTTCCTC